TGTAGAGCAACTGGGATTTTCATACATCACTGGTGGGAATGCAAAATGATATAGCCACTTTGGAAAACAGTTTGGCAGTTAACTTTTAAAGTTAAAGATACATTTACCATACATCCTAGAAATCCCACAAACATTTACCCCAAAGAAATGAAAACATAAATCCACACAGAGACTTGTACATGAATATTCATATCGTTGTTTATATTCTTTTCCAAAAATTGAAAACCCAGTCTAAGGAGATGTGAGGATAGCGAGACTTCGTCTTACATACTTTGGACATGTTATCAGGAGGGATCAGTCCCTGGAGAAGGACATCATGCTTGGTAAAGTGGAGGGTCAGCAGAAAAGAGGAAGCCCCTCAACGAAATGGATTGACACAGTGGCTGCAACAATGGCTTAAACAAAACAACGATTGTGAGGAGGGCACAGGACGAGGCAGTGTTTCCATTCTCTTATATATTGGGTTGCTATGAATCGGAACTGATTCCGTGGCACCCAGCAAGAACAGCACCTTGAGTGGATAAACAAATGGTAGTATAGCTGTACGATGAAATGAAAACCAAAAACCAAGCCAGTTGCTGTCGAGTCAATTCCAACTCATAGTAACCCTATAGGACAGAATAGAACTGCCCATGGGGTTTCCCAGGCTGTAAATCTTTACAGAAGCAGACTGCCACATCTTCTTCCGTGGAGCAGCTGGCAGGTTCAAACTGATGACGTTTCGTTTCGCAGCCAAGTGCTTAACCACTGCGCCACCTTGGCTCCTTATACAGTGAAATGTTACCAGTGGTGGAGGGAGGGGAAGAATATAACTACTGATTAAATAAAATAATGTAGATGAGTCTCAAAAGCATTATGCGAAGTGAAAGAAAGCCAGAAAGATTACATACTGTCTTATTTCATTTGTATGAAATTCTAGGAAAAGCAAAACTGTAATGATAAAAAAAGCAGATTGGTATTTTCCAGGGTTTTCAAACATATCATTTCCCAGTTCCATCATTACTAACATGGGCACATGCTGAGGCTGGTATTAAGGGGTTCATCTGCCACCATCAGGTGTGGAACATAGAGTGCTAATCATAGAACATGTTTACAAGTGTGAGAGGGCCATGTATTTGATTCTGTAACAAGAGAATAATCAGTGCCTATTAGAACAACATGTGTTTTAATATATATTATTAAAACATATAATTGTTATAATGAGCATTGATTATATCCTTTCCTCTCTGCTGCTTCTTCCCCAGGTCTGATTCTAGGCAAAGATGGTCTATAAATACGTTTAGTTTGGGGAAAAAAACAAAAATCAATGCCCGGTGGTCAGTGGTTAACAGCTCAGCTGCTAACCCAAAGGTCGGTGGTTCGAATCCACCAGCCCCTCCTTGGAAACCCTATGGGGCAGTTCTACTCTGTCTTATAGGGTTGCTATGAGTCGGAATCAACAGCATCAGGTTTGGTTTTTGGTTATTATAATCATTAATGTTCATAATTATTATAATTGGCATTGATTATTATTTTGTTACAGAATCAAATACATGGCCTTATGGCAGTTGTAAACATGTTCTATGTTAGCACTCTATGTTCCACACCTGATGGTGTCGTATGAGCCCCTCAATACCAGCCTGTCTTGGCACCACAAATAATCAATGGATATTAGGAGAGGAGCCCTGGTGACGCAGTGGTTAAGTGTTTGGCTGCTAACTGAGAGGTCAGTGGTTTGAACCCACCATCAGCTCTGTGGGAGAGAAGACTTGGCAGTCTGCTCTCATAAAGATTACAGCCTAGGAACCCTGTGGGGTGGTTCTACTCTGTCCTTTCGGGTATGAGTAGGAATCAACAGCACACAACAACACTTGTTATAGGGAAATTGAAGTGTAGGAACTTATGAGTCTTTTGGCCCTTGTGCCTCCGTAGGGACTCTTCATCAACACACCCTCATGGAGTACTCAGAAAAGGTTTTCCCACTCCAGTTTGATGAATGGAAGGTTGTCAGTAGTCCATATAATGACTGAACCTGCTCTGGGACTTCATAAATGATTCTGTTGCCTAACCTGACTCCTCCCTACTTTCCTTCCAAACACGCACCTGTCTTCAGATACATAAGCATACACTGACCTCATACTTGCGTAAGACTCATTAAAGTTGCAGTATTTAGTGTACCAGAAGCAAACTAACACACAGTTTCTTGGGTCTGGGGCTTTGGGTGTCGTGAGGTGCACAGTGGGCCTGCAGGTGACCCACATAGTTGGTCTTCTCAGCACAGCTGAGTGCTTAAGTACTACTCCCCAAAAATGTGTTTTATCTTTTGTGAATGATTAGAATCTTCTGTCCTTCTTTCTTTCCTCTCTGCTACTTCTTCCCCGTATCTGATTCTAGGCAAAGATGGTCTATAAATATATTTAATTTAGGGCGGAGGGGAACTGGGTTTAAGTCCAGATTCTACCACTTACTAGTTTACTTGACTTCAGGCAAGTTATTAAATATCTCTGAACATCAATTTCCACATTTATAAAATGAAAATAAGAATATATGCCCTCACAGGATTATCGTAAGGATACAGTGAAGTAACACATGTAAGCCACTAGTATGCGTTTGATTCGTTTGAATTATGGTGTTGGTGAGGAGTATTGAATAGACCGTGGACTGTCAGAACAACAAACAAATCTGTCTTGGAGGAAGTATAGCCAGAACACTCTTTAAAAGCGAGGATGGCAAGACTTCATCTCAGGTACTTTGGATATGTCATCAGGAGGGACCAGTCCCTGGAGAAACACATCACGCTTGGTAAAGTAGAAGGTCTGTGAAAGAGAGGAATACCCTCAATGAGATGGATTGACACAGTGGCTGCAACAATGGGCTCAAACATAACAATGATCGTGAGAATGGCACAGGACTAGGCAGTGTTTCGTTCTCTTCTATACAGGGTTGCTCTGAGCCAGAACCAACTCAATGGCGCCTAACAACAACAACAGCATGGTACCTGGAACATGGCAGGCACTCAGTACATTTTAATTAGCTTTCCTATTCTCTGGTAGTGCCACGTAGGAGAGTAAAGGAGAGACGGTTGAGAGAAGGAAGAACTTCAAGGGAAAAAGTAAAAAGTTCCACTTTTAAATAAGTGACTTTGGCATTACATACTAAAAGTCATAAAAGATTTGTAAACCTTAAACAACATTTTGGATAGCATGTTGTAAATTAGGTACTACGCAGAGCAGTTCAGTAGGCATTGCATATGTACTACTTGAATTAGATTATCAGTACTGCCCTTATACTGTATTGTGACAGCAGTTAGTTCAAAACTTACCCAATTAAGATTGCCTGGTACATAGTATGTGGTAATAAATATTGTTAAATGAACTTAAAGGTACCAGAAAGAGTTTTGTGAACTCTAATGGAATTCCCTGCTTGAAACCCTTCTGCCTCTTCCTGTTGTCCATGTTATTGAGACTGAACAGCTTCAACTCCAGGTGCATGATCTGGCCTTTACTTACTCCTTTAGCCTCATCTCCTCCCACCCTTCTAACTAGGTTCTCACGTCTAATACCAGGCTCTTAAAATACTGAACTCTTGGGGTTTTCGCCCCTGTATTCTCACAGATGTTGTGCAATCTGGCTGAGACACACTTTCCCTCTCTTCACTGGCTAATTCCTGGTTATCATTTAGTTTTCCTACAAAGCCTAAGTTAGGTACCCCTTCTAGAAAGTAGCCTGTTTACCATTCATTGTATATTTAGCTCCTCCTGTATGGCGCAGTGGTTAAGAGCTCTGGCTGCTAACCAAAGGGTCGGCAGTTCCAATCCATCAGCTGCCCGTTGGAAACACCGTAGGGCAGTTCTGCTTTGTCCACTATTAGTTGGAATAGACTCAGCGGCGATGGGTTTGGTGTTTTTTTGTTTGTTTGTTTGTTTGTTTTTTGGTAGGGTCACTATGAGGCAGAATTGACTTGATGGTGATTGGTTTTCTGGCATTTAGGCCCTAGCATACTGCCAGGCTTATTAGGATTTCAATAAATATTTATTAAATGAACTAATCAGTACCCAAACAACCTGGAAATGCGAAGGATTATGATGGTAATTTCCTATTACATGTAATATGTAGTTGTATAACCTAGAAATTTTTAAACCCCATTATAATAGGAAAAAAATAAACAAGTTTATTCAGTGTACATGCTTCCATGTCCTACTTTATACAATGCATCAGATCCCAAGTGGGTTGATGGCTGCCCTCTTCTTTTATGAACATTAAAAAAAGCTATACTATGAGGGATTTTAAAATGCTTTTGTAGCCACTGCCATATCATTTTGATTTGAGTTTTTCAAAAGAAAAAAAATTAAGTATAGTGATTACTGTAACAACACAAAGGAAGATTCTCATAGAGAGGCTTTTCCTCATAAATGTGTGTCTAGTGAAAATAAGCTTATAAGAGTATTTTAGAAAGGCAGCCAAAAGGTTTATTTATAGAGATTGTTGTTATAAAATACCAAAATATATATGTGCTTATAGGGAAATTTACCTCAAAAAAAGACATTAACTATAAACCAAGTGATCACAAGGAAGGTGTGCGATCAAGTTGTTCTATTGAGCTTTCCCTTTGTGTAAAACTATAAACATTTTGAAGAATTATTTTTCAGATACATCTGCTTAGCCCAGAGAATGGGATCTAAAGGTAGCATAAAGCAATTCTAAGAAAGTGAATGGTGTATGAGCTTTTTTTTTATTTGCTTCACAAGTAATTTACTTAAAAAAAAATTACATCTGCTATTTTGAAGCTAATCTTAGTGTATTGAATGCTTTTAACCATTTCTCAGTCCCACAGTCTTTTATCTTGCTTCTCCTGCTGTGTTCCCACCACCCCTGATCCCATTAGCAAACCTTGAGACAGCCTCAGAGTTACCAAAGTACTGCTTTGGTTTCAGCTGCTCTTCTGCAAGAGGAAGTGAATGTTGGGGGTTTTCTCTGTGGTACAGTTGTGATAAAGCTGTGGTGGTCTTATCTCTCTTGTAGGTAGTGGCTCTTTATGACTACACAGCAAATCGATCAGATGAACTAACCATCCATCGCGGAGACATTATCCGAGTGTTTTTCAAAGATAATGAAGACTGGTGGTATGGCAGCATAGGAAAGGGACAGGAAGGTTATTTTCCAGCTAATCATGTGGCTAGTGAAAGTAAGTTTTATGCTCCCTTCCTGGATTACTAATATGGTATAACTGATAGTCCAAGATTTTATCATTTTCTGCCCTTTAATTTACTGTCTTTATAACTTTGCATATGTCTACCAATGGGTATTGCTTTTCATGTGCATGATAAATAAATAAATAAGGATGGGGAGGGGGCACTGGTATAGTAGAAAGGTGTCACATTCTGAGATTGGGATATTTGCTTCACTGACTTCTCTTCTCATCCCAGGGAACCTGCCCCTGTCTAGCTACCAACTTTCTTCTTCAGCCCCCTTGCCCTGCTGCCTGCTTCACACACACTGTTGTCAGCTCTTCCCTTGCCACAGTGACTCCTCAGTTAACAGGCATCTTAGAACCTCTGGTTCCCCGACTCCCACTCTTTTAATTTGTATACTTCAGTCCTAGCCAGTTACCTGCTAACACAAACTACGGTAAATTGTTTCATTCCCAAGTAAGTGAGCGTTAAGCCCTCATTTATCAAAGGCAAAAAAAAAAAAAAAAGAAGAAGAAATTCTAAATACGAGTTTCTGAAAGCTATAGAGTCACTACTAGGCCTTGAGAGGTGAAAACAGAACTGCTGTTAGAGAGGGTCTGAAAATAAATTGAAAGACTATCATGAAAGGGGAGCAGTAAGTAGTGCTTCAGAAGAATGCATCCTTTCAGCAGTTAACTTGATAGTGGTAGGAAAGCACAATACTCCAGGGTCGGGAAAACCGAACTCTAGTCCCAGCTCAACAAGTAATACTGCTATGCCTCAGTTTCCTCCTATAAAATGAGGAAGTTGAGCCATATCATCTGTAACCTTACTTCTAGAAATACATCTTATGGTTCTGATTTAAAGTGTATCATAGGCAGTCTTGACATTGAGAACACTCTGTTTTGAATACTTTGTAAGTCTTTTGTTTCTGCAAAGAAGTAATTGTTATGAATAAAACTGGTTTTCAGGGTAGGCCATGAAACCCCACTTAACCTAAAATATGGCTGAACGAAAGTAGTGTTGATCCCTAACCTGAATTTTGAATTTTGAGAACAAAAGGAATGAAGGAAAGGAGAAGTAATTTCTTCCATAAATACTGGGTGCTAGGCTAGGCCTAAACAAGTTATTTGTCTTTGGTACCGGCCCACTACCCTTTCTGCTTCCTGGTGTTTCCCCATGTCCCCCCTCCCCCCCAAGACTCTCAGGCTGCTGTAGGCCTCATGGCAGCGCCTTCTTGAACTCACCTGCTTCTTCCAGCAAACTGCTCCCCTCGAAAGTACTGAGCGCCTTAAAAAGACCCACTTCTCACTCCCATAACAGAATTCTTAATTTCCTCTATACCACTGCTTTAGTCCTTTTTCTGCGAATAGTGAATGACTGATTGCTCTTTAACTCTATCAGAGTCATATTTTTATGTTTAAAAGAGGATGCATAATGGAGAAGACTAAGGCAATGTGGGAAGAAGAAATTTTAGGACAGTTTAATTCCCAGGTAGGTGTAAGACAACATCTAAGTCGTCTCCCATAAACTGAGCCCTTCAAACTTCAGAACCCCCAGATTGTCTTTAAATATCCAAGCTCCTTCCCTTCCCCTCCCAGTGATGGCTCTTCACTGGATCGACAGCTTCGGTTCAGCAGGGGCAGTTCTGTCTTTAAATCAAGAGCTGCCTGTGCAATTGTAGCCACCCTGGAGTATATCTGTAACTTAAACTAGCTGTTACAATCCACTGTTCCTTTCAGGTACAAGTGTAAACTTTTAAAATATTTTTCACTTGACAATATAAAATGATTGTGTATTCCTGGGCAGGATGGTATGAAGTGGTTTAATTTTAGAATCGAGTTTGCAGAAATAACATCTTTGGTTTGCACATTGAGATGCTCTAGATATTTAATCTACAGTAGGTTAAAATGCAATAAAATTTGTTTTCTCTCCGTAATAATCAGAGTGACACTTCTGAAACACACTGCGGTAATGCTTGGTGGCTGCATGCAGAAATTAATTCCATGTCTCAAAAAGTGACCATCCTTTGACTGCCATGGTCCCTTATTGTATCCCAGAATAACTGATGGTTTCTTTTGGCAGCACTTACTGTTTGGTGAAAGCCTTGCAAGGGGCATAACAAGTAGAAAACCCGAGAATATAATGACTGAATTCTCACACTTCATTGAGGGTTATTTTCTTTTTCCTTTTTATCCTACTCTCTACCTGTGTTTAACAAAAACTCACCTGCCCGGTTTTAACGTTAGAGAAAGATGACTGTCAGAAGCACATTCCATTCTAAAAATTAGTAGGAGAAATCGTCTTTTATCTTGATGTGAAGTCAGATGCGCAAAGCAAACAATCTAAGGGAGTATATATGAACAGAATTTCTATGAACTGTTCAGCTGAGAGCCATGTTGTCTAATAGAGCAACACGGTAGAATGAGTTGCTACCTCATTGTTATAGAAGGACTTATCCCTTTTTATCTTAAGCTCCTAAGCTCCTAGAAAGAAAAACTTGATCAGCTTCCTTAATCATATCAGACACCCTTTTCAGTAAGAGATAAAGAAACCCAATGATAAAATTAACCCATACACAAAGCTAATTAGTATATTTCAAAACCTCAGTTTTAGAATTTTGATCAACTATATTTTAGCAGTTTCTCTCAATTCAGAGTTGCCCAAGTAATTTAGCCAAAATAGATTTTCTTTTTTTAGCCCTTTAAGAAGCTCAACATATCTCTTCAGATTCAACACCGGATTTCTCACCACCTGAAGAAAATACCCTGTATAGTCCTAGCTCCATGCTTATTCAATTCATTCCATCCTCCAGAATTATCAGGAGCCCTGGTGGTGGAGTGATGAAGCACTTGGCTGCTAACCAAAAGGTGGGCGGTTTGAACCCACCAGCTGCTCTGCGGGAGAAAGATGTGTTAGTCTGCTTCCATAAGGATTTGCAGCCTTGGAAGCCCTAGGAGGCAGTTCTACTCTGTCCTATAGGGTCACTGTGAGTCAGAATCGACTTGATGGCAGTGGGTTGAGTTTTGGTCCCAAATTATCCTTTCTTTACACATTGACCTGGCAGAATCCTACCTGTTCTTCAGAGTTTGATACCTTTACCACTCTTTCATTAAGGATTTGTCATCCCCACATCAGAATTTATCTTTGTTATTATCACTCTTTAAAATTATGTCACATTCTATTTTATCTTACAGTTATTTGTGAAGATATTTGTCTCTGACCAGACTGTAAGCTCCTTGAGAGCAAAAACTGTCTCTTGATCATCTTCATACCTCCCCCAGCAGTACCTACCAGTTAACTTTGCATATAGCGTGTACCTGGTAAATGTATATTGAAATAAAATAAGCATTTGCATGACCACATAGTAAGTGAAAATGATGCCTTCTACATTTCTGAAACCCTGACAGAGGATAGTCTGCTGAACAGTACTTTGCAGTCATAAGTTATGTTCTTTTGATAACTAATGTTTATGACTACACATTGCCATAACAATAGTTCTAGTAGATTATTGTTATATCAAGGAATTGAGTATCAATTTCATAACCCACCCCCCTCAATTGTTGGTTTCTTTTCTCCATGGAACAGTGCGCATCCATTTGATTCTGTGAACTCATTTTTTAATTCCAGCACTATATCAAGAACTGCCTCCAGAGGTAAAGGAGCGTTCCCCTCCTTTAAGCCCCAAGGAAAAAACTAAAATGGAAAAACCTTCTTCAGCTTCTCAAAAGGTAAGTGTTTTCAAGAATATGAGTTACATATGTACTTTGATTTCTCACTCTCTCTGGATAAAATATGACTTTATTTTTCATGCTTATAATTTTTCATTGCTTAAATTATTTTTTTCATTTGATCCTGGCACCAACTTTATGACGTATATAAAGCAAATGTTGTTATAGCTGTTTTCCAGGCGAGGAAAGAGGAGGCTCAGAGAGATGAAAGCACACCCCCAAATCACAGCCGAAGTGATAGGACAAGGACCCAAAGTGTAATTTGTGACTTTAAGTGTGATGCTGTCTCCATTCTGCTCTTGTTTCTATAACAGTGATGCTGACACTGTCATCAGCCCACCTGGGGGCTACACATTAGGCCTAAGGTCCCTGGAATCCACAGAGTAAAATGTTCTGTCTTCCTGGAGCATTCCTTTTACTTGCTAGTAATTTTAAATATTTTTAAGTTAAACATTAAATATGGATGGATAATCAACCAAAGAAGTATTGTGTTTTTTGGTCTGTGCCATCAGATCCCTTGAGGATATCAGTCAGTATTCTTCTGCTGTTAGTAGTACTTTGGTAAAAAAAAAAAAATTAAGCACTGTACCATCATATATATTGCTTATTAAACTTGCTTTAATGTGTGATGTTAGCTCTTGCCTTAGATTAAATAGCCTGGCTTCCTCTTTACTCCATAAACTGACATCAATTTTTTTTTTTGTTTTACAAATACTGTATCGTGACAAAGTTTTGAGAGTTGAACCTGTCGCGTGTCGTTCAGTCATTCACTATGTGTTTATTGAGCTGCTTCCATGCCAAGCACTGTGTTAATCCTCACTGAAACAGGAGTGAGTAGGCAAGGCACTTAACCTTGAGGCGCTTACAAGGTTACTAGTTAGTGAGGCACCTGTAAGCAGGGAATTTCAATAGAATGTGGTAGGAACTGTAATAAAAATATGTGCATGATGCATTCAGAACATACAGGGAGAAACCTTCTAAATCTACCCTAGGGTTGTGGGGGGAATCGAGGAAAAGTTCCCAGAGGCAGTAATGCTTGAACTGAGGCTTCTAGGATGAAAAAGTATGGAATAACTTGAGTAAGTTGTGAAAAAGTATGGAATAACTTGAGTAAGAGAGTCATTGGAGTGGAATACCATGGAATCTCAGCCAGATTGGAAAAACCATGAAATCAGGAGAGAGTTGGCAGACTTAGAAAGCAACGTTCTCACTAGATTTCAGTAAGCTACCTGGTGGAAGCATGGTGTCATAGTAAAGGAGTTTTTTATTGTTTATTAGGTGCCATCGAGGCATTTCCCACTCACAGTGACCCTATGTGCAACAGAATGAAACACTGCCTGGTCCTGTGCCATCCTTACAGTCGTTGTTTTGTTTGAGCCCAGTGTTGCAGCCACTGTGTCAGTCTGTCTCATCGAGGGTCTTCTTTTTCGCTGACCCTGTACTCTACCAAGCATGATGTCCTTCTTCCGGGACTGGTCCCTTCTGATAACATGTCCGAAGTACGTGAGACAAAATCTCACCATCCATGCTGCCAGGGTGCACTCTATCTGTTTCTTCCAAGACTGACTGGTTCATTCTTCTATCAGTCCATGGTATAGTCAATATATATTCAATACCATAATTCAAAGATAAAGGAATTAGTAAGCCGGAATTATAGAGTTTAAAGCCAGAAACTCCTTTGTTTGCTTAATATTCAGGTGTTAAGCTGCTCCAGGCTTTGATAAATTCAGAGCATGTACATAAGAGCTGAAGTGAAATTGTTGTTGTTTGCGGCCACTGATTCCACACTAACTCATGCTGAACCTATGTACAACAGAACAAAATGTTGCCCAGCCCTGCATCATCCTCCCAGTCGCCAGCGAGGACATGTTATGATTGAGGAACTAGAACCTATCTTGTTGGACAGGTTGTGCTCTTGGGCATTAAAATTGCAGGAGTTGGGATGAAGAGGAAACTGAAACAAAAAACCATAGACGTCGAGTCGATTCCAGCGCATAGCGACCCTATAGGACAGAGTAGAACTGCCCCAGAAGGTTTCCAGGGAGCTAAATTTGAACTGCCAATGTTTTGGTTAGTAGTGGAGCTCTTAACTACTGTGCCACCAGGGCTCCACTGAAACAAAAGAAGTTCTTAATTCCTGTGTTAGTGCAGAACTTCTCAACTTTAGCTTTACATTGAAAATCACCTGAAGAATGACAGAGTAAATAAATACTGATGCCTGTCCCCACCCCCTACAAATTGGTTTAATTGGCTTAGAATGGGACCTAGGCATGAGTAGATTTCAAAAGCTTCCCAGGTCATTTCAGCTTGGAACCAACATTGAGAACCATTGTAGTAGAGTGACCACAAAGTCCAAAGGTAACAGCTGCAAAGAGAAGTAGAGGGTATTTGTTATAGCCAGGTGTCAAGACACCCAAGGAGGAGTGCTCATGGAAGTATAATAGCCTCAAAACAGCAGCAAGGGACAAAGAGGAGGCCAGTGTTAACTCCTGGCCCCATGGTTCACAGTTAAGCATATGAGAATGAACAGCCTATGTTAAAAGTAACTGAAAGAAAAATGGTTTCCCGGTAAAACGACAAGTTTCAGATACAACAAGGATATACAGTGACGTTTGACTAAGATAGTATGGGGACTGCAAGGGATATAGTCAAAAGGATTGGCGAGGAACTTGACTATGGACAGACGTTGCACATGTAATACTACCCGTTGTTTGGAATTCAGATTTAAGAATTCAGGAAGATACTAATCTAAATGTACAACCTAAAGACATTTAATGCAGGGGAAGCATTAATAACATTGGTACAGGGAGTCACTGTGCAACTAACAGTATTTTTAGTCCATGTCAAGAACTATGGAAGATGCTGTGGAAATACAAGTACATGTAGTGACCTACTGGTATCCCTGACTGGGCATCATGCTAACCTTCGGAGTTGAGGTTACCTAACCCCCACCTCTAAGTGTGTTCCTCTCCAAAACCCTGGGGATAATTCTGCCTCATTCACAGGCGACATAAAGAACTCTGTCCGAATCTTACCGACTCCCTGTGGAACTGGCTTTGCTCCTTCCTCTTCCTGATCCACCTGTGTTTCTATGGGTGGGGACCTCTTACTTGCTTCCCAAGACTACCCAGTTCTCATGGCCTGTGCCACTGCTCCACTTGCTTACTGCAGCATAGTCTTAGTTTGGACTGTAGGGTGATGTTTTCTTCTTTTTATCTTGTGTAGCTTTTCCCTCACAGACTGATCTCTTTGTTTCAAACATATCTTTATATCCCAGCAGACCAACTCTTCAGATATCCAGCTTGACCCTTGAAATCTGCTTCTGATCAGTCCCACTGCTGCCCAAACCCTAGTTCTGGTAGATCTCAAGGAACTTAACAGACATGCAAAGAAAGCAAAACACTTTTAAAAATAAAGTAGGTAAAGCAAGGGAGTTGCAAAGGATACGAATCCATTTGGGCAAGGGAATAAAAAGTTCTCGTGGAAGAGATGGAACTTGAATTAGACGTTAAAGTTTAAGATGCATGGATTTATTTTGTTGAAGATCATGATTTGATCTGCTTTATCTGAATCCATGTGTTAGAACAGAACCCTACATACTTTTTGTTCCTCTTAGGAATGCATCATGTATATAGTTAGACAGTGTTTTACTTCCCTGTGGGGGAAAAAGGTATAAGGAAAGATCTATGCTTATGTAAAAAGTAGTCCCTGAGAAATGTTAATATTGTCAAAATACCTTGGGTACACTCTGAGTCGTGAAGTTAACAGCCAGCCCCTTGAGAAATGTGTAACTGAGCTTCCTTAGCACCTGACACAGTTACATGTCTTAAGTGTAGTTCCTTTATCAAATATATATGGTTTGATTGTTATCGAGATCCTGCTTTATAAACATACCACAGATTCTACCAGATGCATAATTTCATGTGTAGTCTTATTTTTATTATCATACGTAAGATGTGTTCTTGTTAAAAAAAGAAAAGAACATGAAAGCTAGTCTCTGCTAAGGGACTAGAACTGTGGGAGATCTGAGTTCATGGGACGATAGAACTGATGACATGGACGGGACCTGGGAGATCATCGCGGGTGATTCTGATTAGCTTCATTTTACAGATGAGGAAACAAGATCCAGAAAAATTATAAGACACGCGTTTAGAATGACACTGCTAAGTAGAAGCATGGCTAAGATGGGGTCCCCGGCCTCCGTTTTCTCAGGCCAGTGAGTGGCCTTTTTCCTCCACCACCAGTGAAAGACACAGACAGCTGTTGCTTACATAGTTAGCTGAGTTTTGAGTCACATCGGTTTTTTACATCCTTGTTTTATGTTTGTTTCATTGTACGCTTCTTATGGAAGTTTTTAGAATTATATTCTCTCTACTTTTTTTTTTAATAACGAAAAAAAGGAGAGAAACTTCAGTAGTTTTCTTTCTTTTAATTATTTCTATTCAATCCATAGAATAAGAAGTAAAATTATACCTCTTAACAGCTTGGCAGCTGCTGAATCTTATAAGTTCTTCCAAGTGGAACACACCTGCTCTGTTGCTGTGTGTGCCAGGTACCTTCCAACATTTCATCTTGTCATTGCAGTGTTGGTGGGTGATGGCAGCATTTGTTGCTGGTTCTTCCAGTGTAAGAGGAGGGGGGAAGGCTTGAGTTAGTTATTCCCCATGATAGAACCCCAACCAAATCAATAACTCCCTAAACCACAGGGGAGTGGGAGTAGGAGAATGTTTTCCTCCATGGTCATTCCAGAACGTTTTTCTAATTATGCTGTAAATTTGCATCTAATAAAAGAAAGACTGTTGGTACTGTCAGTGAGGAAAGTAATTCAGAAGCTTTGAAAACAGTAGTGCTAACAACTTTGGAACCTTGGTTTATTTTTTTGTTTGGATTTTGGACTTTTTTTTTTTTTTTTTTTTTAAGAGCTTTATTTTTGATAGCCTAAATATTAACCTATATCATTCATTTATTTGGGGAAAAAAAAGTTATTGTTAAAATCTTTT